CAGGCCGTTCCAGCGGCCCTTGGAAGAGCGAGACCTCTGCGGACAGAACTCTCCGAGAGCCTGAACCGAACCTGCAGAAACCCCCGTCCCCCCTGGAGTCGCCTCACTGAGCTTTGAGGGGCGCGTCCTGTGACTGGTCTTGCGGAGAGGACCAGCCGCGGTGAGCGATCGCAAGGAGTTAGCGACAGAGTAGTGGGGATGAGTGCTGAGTGCTGTGCTTATTGTAACTACATCCATCTAGAACTTTCTGTAAGGCTGCCTGAGACCATAGCCTGGAGAAGTGGGCACAGTAGAGAGCCCAGTCCTGGCAGAAGCACTGGAGAGAGTAACCCCAACATGGAATGATCTTGTCTGACTGGATCAGCCCGGCGTGGACGGCGGCTCGGCCCCAGATGGACATGACCCGATTCGAGGCACATGCAAAATGGAACAACCTTGAGGAAACAGGTAAAACAGCCAGAAAATCAGGCCTGTGGCAAGGCTGTACTGTCCCGCCCTCCGAAGCCCTCAGGACGCACCTTTAACTGCAGCTGTGAGGAAAATACTGGCTACCGGGGCGCGGCCACGTGTCAAAGCAAACCGTGGAGAGTTGCTCAGCCAACGCCACGCTGTGGGACAGACATGCTGAAGCCACTCAGCGAGCTGGAAGGAGCAAGAGTAGTCTCGTTTGTAGGACAAGTGAAAAGACCAGCCAGGAACCACCAGCCCCAGAAAACTGGCGCTGTGGAGAAGCACAGTCCCCTTCAGGCCTGTCGCCCCCTCAGACCTCCAGCTGGCGTCCAGCCAGTCGGGAACGACACTCCGCCTGGCCCTGTCCGCGTGATACACCCCACCGGACCCCCGAGGTGCTGGCCCTCAACTGGCAGTGAACAAACTCTTAGAGAGCGAGTTCCTCAGGTAAGAGAACATTCTGGCTCATGGTGCTCCTGCAGTGGGCCAGCTTCAGGGGCTAAGAAACGGAAATAAACGGGGAAGATACCCGGTGCAAACATAGTTGGAATTATCTGGCCCAGGCCGAGAACCACATCAAAACTACGCCTTTCGTGTAGATGCCCACCCCAAAAGGCCGATCTTAACGTCGGCTCAAGTGTAACTTGCTCGGGAAACTACTCGGAGAATATCCACTCGCCACATGCACACAAGAGCTGGGCGCAGGCCTGAGATGTGGGGGGCGAGAGGCCTCACCTGAGACAGAAGGGGGAGCAGAACAGGCAGACTGACAAGCACACCGCTGAGGGGAGCAGCGGGGAGACAGGAGAGGTCTGCTGTGCCCTGGGGGCCACTCCCTGGCGGGGTTTGAACTCACGACGGCTGCAGTGGCTGTGGAGAGCATCATCGTGCTGAGGCTTAACCCTGACACCACCGCAGCCTCCTTTCCTTTTTTATATAATAAACCGGCCCTTTTGGCTCTAACTACCGTCTCTGCCTCCTGGGAAACTCGCTGTGTCTCTCAGGGGAGCACTGGCGAAACTGTTCTCAGAGGGAACCCTGGTTCCCCGCTCACTGACCCCACACGTCTCCCCAACAACCTCAGTTGTGGGCCAGCTCCTTTCAGTTCACTGGGCCTGCTTCCCTGACTGAAGGAGAGCTGCCCTCTGCCAGGTGGCTAGACCAGAGGCGGAGGGCTGGGGGGAAGCAGCCCATGGAGCGGGGATGCTACTTTCTTTGTTGCCATCCTGGGGATCCCTGGAGGAGGTGCTCCTGCTGGTCCCTGGGGTCAAACAGACAGACGGGAGGCTGGGCGATCCCCCAGCCCGGAGTCAGTCCTCAGTCCAGGGTCGCTCTGGGGGCGCTGTCCCATCTGCTCAGAGCGCTGGCTGTGAGCGCGGCCCAGCCCCCTTCCAGCGGGCAGCGGGCAGCGGCGGTGGAGGCTGCTCTGGGCTGCCCTTGTAAGGAGGCGAGGCCAGGGACACCCGAGACAGGTTATTATTAACCCGACACGTGGCGACCCACCCCCAGCACCTGCCCCGCCCTCCCCAGCCTGGGATCTCAGCCGAGCAGAGCAACAGCACGGCCCTCTAAAAATAAACTCCCTCGGGCCTGGGGCCAGTGGCTCCCGGTACCCTCAGGGAAATCTCCCGGTCACCCCAGCCCCAGGGCTTCCCCTCCACCGGCCTGGGGTCTGAGTTACAGTCTCCTCCCCCCGGCTGCTGGTTCCCCAGCTCACTCCCCAGCGCCCCAGTTCCAGTAGGGCCCTTGATCCCAAGCTCTCAGGGTTGAGTGACAACAGCAAGTCTCCGTCCTGTTTCTTCCTCTGGAAAACTGTGACTGTGAGGCCCGGCCCAGGCCCGTGGGCCTTCCGCAGGGTCAGGGTGCAGACGCTGCTGTTCCCAGGGGTTCAAGACCACAGGCTCAGGAGGGCCTGGGCTCAGGAGGGGCCTGGCAGTCTGGTGGAGGCCGGGCAGGGTGGCTTCTCGTGCTGGGACATTCCCTGCGTGGCCGCGTGTCCCCGGCGGGGGGCCAGCTGTCCCTGCCAGCCCTACTCAGCACTTGGTCAGGGCCTCAGTGGGCTGGGGGGGGCCGGGGCTCGGCCTCTGGGAGGCCCATACAAGGTCATGGGCTGGGCGCACGGGCCTGCCTGGGTTCAGGGCGGCGAGGTGAGAGCCCAGCCCAGCCGCCCCCTTTATAAGGCAGGGCACGCGGGCCTTTCCTTTGGGTCAGTGTCGCCTCCGGGATACAGACAGCCCCTTGCAACTCAGCCCAGCCAGGTACCTCCTCGGGTGGGGCCAGGGTGGGTCCCCGAGGGAGCCCCTGGGTGCTGGGGCCAGCCGGCTCTGCATGCACCTCCACCTCCCGCTGCCTGTGTGGGAAGGCTGATCCAGCCTGGGAGCTCTGACCCCTCCGAGACTGAGGCCCAAGGTCCTGGGGAGGGACCCCCACGACAAAAGGGGTGTTGACAGCTGTCGGCCGTCGCCCCGGCTGTGAGCGGCTGCCTTCAGGAGGGTTTGTCCCGGTCTGGGCGCGGGCGTGGGAGTGTCAGGGCTGCAGGGCGGGTCCCGGCGGGACCCACAGTCCTGCAGCCTCAGGTCTGACTGTGTGTGACCCCACTCGGGTGCCCTGTGACCGGGGTGCATCCCCGGGCTGGAGGTGCTTGTGACTGACACCACGTGAGCTGGGGGCCGGGATGGCGGGGCGGTGTGTCCCCTGGGGGTTCTGAGTGTGTCTCCCCGATCGCCCTCCCGCAGCTCAGGGTCCCCTAGCAGGGATGGGGGCTGTAGCCCCTCTGAGGAGGGCTGTCTGGGCTGAGGAGCAGCGTGTCCTCCCAGCTACCCGGCCCACCTGTTTTGGGCCTGCTGACTTGGCGCAAGCTGAGCCTCAGGAATGTAGGGGGTGGTGGTGAGGGGGCAGTTGGGAGGGGGGAGGAGAATGTGCCAGACTCTATAAATACTCCCCAATCCTGGACAGCATCTCCAAAGATCTTTTGTGGGTCCCCCCAGTCTTCGGCTTGCCCTGGTCCTGATTTCCTTCCCACCTGCTTCCCACACTCCCACAACTGGGAGTGAGTAGCCCCCCACACTGAAAGCTACCCCTCTTTTCGGGGTCCTGTGATTGCATGCAATAACAGCAGCCACCACCCCAGTACTGGGCCCCAACTGCACACCAGCTACTTGCCTGAGCTTAGAGATGCTTCCTGGATAAGACCCAGTTTACAGAAGACAGAGGCCCAGAGAGGCTGAGCCACTGATCGGGGGTCACACAGCAGGAACTGGCAATGGTGGGATATGAAGCCAGCTCTGTAGGCCCCAGAGCTGAGCTTTTGTTTCCAACTGAGACCTGGGGGACAGGGGAGGGGAGAGCCAAGCAGCCCTCCCTCCCACCTGGCCCTCAACTTGTCTGAGCACCAGGAACTTGATGGAGAGAAAGTCCTTCTCCGCCCACTCACTCATTCCCAGCAACAGCCTTCCTCTTCTCCCCAGCAACTCACAGACCTTCAAACCAGGCTGAACAATAGCTAAAAAAGAGTAAGCAAAAGAGTGATTATGTGCCAGGCACTGTGCTCACGCCCCCCGCGGGTACCGTGGCATCTCACACACACGAGTCACTGGAAGCAGAGTGCCAGCAGCCCGCCAAGCTCTCGGCCGGCACAGCTGGGCTCCAACCCGGCGTCTGGCTCCAGCCACCGCTTACCCATGATGCCGCCATTACTGCTCCGGCCCCAGGGGCCCCCTCTGCATATTCCAGCTGGGAAAACGATGCCTTTGCCAGATTCCAAGTCCAGGGTCCCCTCAGGGAGTGGCAGAACTGGCTCTCAACCCATCAAGACGCAGGGGTTCTGGGAGGAGACCCCTCAGCTGAGGTCACCCCACCGGAGGTCACCCTCCATCCCCCGACTGGTCCCTTCAGGGATGTGCGCTAATTCCCCAACCCCTGCCCCCAGGCCCCCCACCGCCACCATGCCTTTCGGCAACACCCACAACAAGTTCAAGCTCAACTACAAGCCAGAGGAGGAATACCCAGACCTCACCAAGCACAACAACCACATGGCCAAGGTGCTGACCCCTGACCTCTACAAGAAGCTGCGGGACAAGGAGACCCCCTCTGGCTTCACGCTGGATGACGTCATCCAGACAGGTGTGGACAACCCAGGTAAGCCCCGGGGAGCCTGGCGGGGACTGGGACGCTCCACCTGCCCCCTTCCTGGGCCTCAGCTTCCCCATCTGTAAGACGGGGCCCCGCGCAGGGGCGTGTGAGGCACAGATGAGTTCAGCGTGGTGGGGCCTGCCTGGCAGGTGGGGAGCACACCACAAAGCCAGGCAGCTCAAGGGGAGCTTCCCCTGGGCCTCAGCGTCCTCACCCGGAAAATGGGGACCCACATGGTACAGACAGCCGAAGCCACACAGTGCACAGCACTAACCTGTGGGCCCCTCTGCGGAGAGGCTAGGCCCAGGATGCTCCCCAGGGCCAGCAGAACTGGGGGACGGAACCAGGCTCCAGGCTTAACCAGACCCTGCGGTTGAGGGGAGACGCCCTCTCCCTGGTGGCCGTTCCCTAGTTCCCTACCTGGGAGAGAAGCCATCTTTTAGGTCTTATCTGTGGGGCTCGCTGTCTCAGGCTCTGAAAACCTTCAGGAGGAGATCCCACGACTTGGGGGCTCTCAAGTGGTGATATTCCTAGTGCCTGCCCTCAGAGCCCCTTCTCGCCTTAGCCCCCCTGGCATCATTCTCCCCAGCCCCCAGATGGCACCGTGACTCAGCCTCCCCTCCCCAGTCCTGGCAAACCTCAGCCTTCTCCCCTCTGGCCCAGAGGCGGGAATGGACCTGTCTCCCCCACAAACACACACACAGTCTGTGGCTGCTGGAGACCAGGCTCCCCTGCCAGGCGGGACCCCTGACTTCTCCTTGACACCCCCAGGTCACCCCTTCATCATGACCGTGGGCTGTGTGGCTGGAGACGAGGAGTCCTATGAGGTTTTCAAGGACCTCTTTGACCCCATCATTCAGGATCGCCACGGGGGCTACAAACCCACCGACAAGCACAAGACGGACCTCAACCACGAGAACCTCAAGGTGGCTGCCCAGCTGCGGAGGGGTCACTGAGGATGGGGGAGACGGAAGGGGAGAGGGGGAGGGGGGAAGACAGGGAGGTGGGAAAGTGACCTGAGGGCAGGAGGGGAAGGGAGGGAGAGGGGAGGGAGAGGCGAGAAGGGGGACAGAGGCCAGAAGGGGGAGGGAGGGGGAGAGCCGCAGCCACTGAACAGACCAGCAGACACGGGAGTGAGACAGAGGAGATGGGTCTGGGACAGAGCCAGAGGCTGCGAGCCAGTGCCCAGCCTGGAGGAGAGACAAACAGGAGCAGGGCGCCAGCAGTGTGGGGAGGCGGGAGAGACCCCCAACAGGGAGGGTTACTGGAGGGGAGGGCTCCAGCCTGGGAGGGTCTGGGGGAGACTGCCCTGGAGTCAGGCCAGGGAGGTCCCCGGTCCTAACCCCCCCGCCGCCCTCCAGGGTGGAGACGACCTGGACCCCAACTACGTGTTCAGCAGCCGTGTCCGCACTGGCCGCAGCATCAAGGGGTACACGCTGCCCCCCCACTGCTCCCGTGGGGAGCGCAGGGCTGTGGAGAAGCTCTCCGTGGAAGGTGAGACCCCGCCCACCTAGCCTTGGCCTGCGCCTCCTCTGGCAGGCTGGGGCCCCAAGTTTTCCAAAACACAAAAGGAGCTTGATGCAAAATCACAGGTGCTTGGTGAGTGGCAGCTGGTGGCTTCACCCCTGGCTTCACCCCAGGGGGCTGCCAAGACTTGGGGGGGCACAAACAGATCCATGCAGACATCTAATGGCAGCACCCCTGCCCTCCCCCTCCCTCTCTGCACCCTCATGCACCCTTCCATCCCAGCAGACATCTGGTCCTGGGGGAGCAGCTGCGGCCCCCCAGTCAACCTGAGCCGGGCGGACAAGGTTTCTCTCTTGGAGCTCTCGGTGGGGTGGGGAGATAAGGGGGAATAGAGAAACCAGCAACAGACAAGATAATTCAGAAATTCCATGAAGCCAAGAATTGAGGGACATGCCAGAGAATGAGGGGGGTGCACCTTAGAAAGGAGGAGCTGAGACCTCACTGAGAACAGGGAGCCCAGAGGGAAGGACTCAGGTAGATGCAACAGCAGTTGCCAAACCCAGAGGCCACGGAACAGCAAGGGGGGGGTGGGAAGGGAGGAGGTGAGGCGCCGGGTTGTCCAGACCCTGGGCTGGTCTGAGGGCCTCGGTGTTAGGCCCACGGGGCAGAAGCCATGGGGGCGCTCAGCAGAGACACAGGCGAGTGGCCCTCTGACTGCTGACCAAGGGGGTTCAGAGACTGGGAGGGGCCACTCAGAGAGGGGGGCATGCTTGCGGCTCAGTGTTAGTGTCCTTCAGGTCATAGTTTAACAACCATGCTCAAAAACAAAAAAGAACACCAAAAGCTGGTTTGCAGCAATAGCCTGTTTCTACAGGGTAAATTCTACCGCAGCCAATGTTCAGCTTATGCGATGTCAGAGAGCTGGGAGGAGATGGCGAGATGGCCAGAAGCACCTCTCCAGCGTCCGTCCATGCGTGGGGCACTTCAAGGGCACAGATAGGGCCTCCTGGTGGCTCCAGCGGGCAGCCAGCCCTGTGAAGCTTCGGGCCAGGGAGTGGCCCCAGGGCGCAGCAGCCTCTCCCGGCTCCCGCTGCTCCTCGGCAGAGCACCTGGCCAGTCTGTCCCGCTCCCCGCTCTGTCTCTGGCCTACACCCCCTCCTCTGGCCTACACCCCAGCTCTTGTGTGCATAAATAAATAAATCTTAAAAATAAAGAGCGCAGATAACCCTAGACCTAAAATAGAGGTGATGGTTCTGAGCATGATTGCCCTCATTTGAAGTGTAATTTAATTGTGAGTATAAGTTATTTCCAGCATTTAATATAGTCTATAGCATATGGCATATAAAGCACTATGTAGCATATAATATATAAAAGTATTATGTAGGATGTAATATATAAAATCCATATATAGATATATGTACACATTACAGGAATGTGTAGACCTGCATTTATTATAGGCATACTAAGCATATCTATGTTATATAATGATTTATTATCATTATTATTTATTAAAATTTATTATGTAAAATTTACATATTATATACTACATAAACCTATGCATTGTATATACATCCGTTTAAATGATTTGTTGTAATTAGTATCATGGAATGACTTTACTCTACGATGATAATTTCCCCAGCATTCGGCTGTCTTGCTAGCAGCTCATAGCTGCGCCTGCGTGGGGTTTCTGGTTTCAGGCAGGAACACATTTTGGGGCGAGGTCATGAATTTGGATTTGGGGCGAGTGCTTAGGCGCTGTGCGGGGCACTGACCACTCTGTGCCGTGGCCCTCAGCCCTCAACAGCCTGACAGGGGAGTTCAAGGGGAAGTACTACCCTCTGAAGAGCATGACGGAGAAGGAGCAGCAGCAGCTCATCGACGACCACTTCCTGTTTGACAAGCCGGTGTCCCCCCTGCTGCTGGCCTCCGGCATGGCCCGGGACTGGCCCGACGCCCGTGGCATTTGGTGAGCCCTCACCCCTGCCTGCCCCCGCCTCCCCTTCGCTGAGTCTGGTGCATGCCCGGGCCCTCATGCGCGCACCCCTCATGCACGCACTCCCTCCCTCTGTGGGGATTTCGGGGTTCCGTTTTGGTCCCCTTTGAAGCTGCCTTTCTGGGTGTAAATCCCAGGCTGCTGCTTACTAGCCGTGTGACCTTGGGCGCAGCTTCCCCATCTATAAATCGGGGTCTAATAATGGTAGTTGTTGGGGTACTCGGATTAAATAAGTTAAGCTGTGCGTAGTTGGTGCCAGGCACGTCTGGGCCCCTGGAATGATCTGAATTACTGACTACTGTTGCTGGTTAGACTTTCCCAGGATCTTTGAATCCCTGATCTGACAGTCGGAGGTTTAAAAAGGGCAGAAGAATCTTCTAGATTTCAAAGAACTTAGAGAGTCCAGATTCTGATTTGCAGATGTTTGAGTTTCAGATTTCAAGACGTGAAATATTTTTAGGTTCTAAGATTCTGCCTGTTTCATAGTCTATGAGTCCATGTTTCAAACACCTTCAGATCTTAAAATTTTCTGGTTCCCTGCCTGGTCCGAGATGTCACAATGTCATGGGAAGAGTCCCTGCTCCTGAGAACAGCTGTAGGGCTCCAGGCTTTATCAGTGCTGACGGCAGCATCGGCTTCCCAAAGACTCTGCGACTCTAAGTCTGTAAGGCTGCTCAAAGACTTAAGCCCCGTAGTCTCCAGGCGTAAAGAGATTTTGCGGAAGCCCCCTCGGGCCCCCCAACCCCCTCTCACCTCGGGCCCTCGCCCCAGCCCCTCGTGCCGGTCGCCCCCTAGCGGTAGTTCTGTGTTATCGCGCGGGCAGGGACTGGGGCTCCGCTGAGCACATCACCGCCCCCCTCCCGCGTGGCCGCGCCCCACCCTAGGCACAATGACAACAAGAGCTTCCTGGTGTGGGTGAACGAGGAGGACCACCTCCGAGTCATCTCCATGCAGAAGGGGGGCAACATGAAGGAGGTTTTCCGCCGCTTCTGCGTGGGGCTGCAGAAGGTGAGTGCTTGCCTTTGCGGCTCATTTCTGAGGACTCCACCCGGCACGCCCCACCAGCTTTCTGTCGCGCACCCCGCAGTCCCGCCCCTGCACATGCCTCAGCCCCGCCCCTCAAGACAAGAC